AAATAACCATTTCCATTGCTAAAGACCCCTTGAAGAACCATCTTTTGTTAAATGTGTACATTATTATCTATTTCTCATTAATTCATGACAAGAGTCACCCATTTCTGAAAACTCAACTAGCTTCAAGGATCTTTGCCATTCTATTTAGAAACTGCTTGGGGGCTGAAATTCACCAACGGAAAGTGTTCCTGGTTGTAGGCTGAACTAGTGAACATGAAATCAAAAGCCTATTATGGTGAGAATAACAGGAACATGTCAAATGCATCCAAATGTAACATTTTAGCATAAGAACATGGTATGACACAAAAATAACATTCTGTGAAGAGAACCAATGGAAAATCAAGAGCTGATTGACAGAAGCCAACCAAACTGGAAGCTTTTTGGGCAAAACACTCTTCAGTCTGTAGAACTTAGCAAAATCAATTGATTTCAACTAGATTTAGCTCAGTAATAAAGCATTATTAAAAAAATAATCCATTACTTTTTTGTAATGTATAGTATGTCTACTGGACCACAGGAAGAATAGTGGCTATAGTGATAGCGGCTAATGGGGATCCTAAAAATAAACAAAATAGACAACAACAACAAAAAAACGTTACTAGATTTTCCTGATTAATTGTAACAGAATAATAATTTAGTGCAATTGTTATGTTTTATAGTGTAGGCACAACATTAACTTCTAGTCAATTTCAAATCATAATAATACGTCACATTCAATATACTTGCAAGCTCAAATCTGCTCTTTTGGCAAACTTTCTCTGCGTGTTTGCTTTTGTTATTGCCAGTAATAACTGCAAACCTCTATGGGTTAAGTAATGATGACTAGCCACTGAAACCCCTCACTGTTGTCCTTGCAGACCCTTTAAGTCCCACTTATAATTCCATCTTTAAACAGATGTGCAGTCAAAAATTCTGTAAGCCCGTTTGTGCTTCCGTGACAGAGCGCATTTGAAACAGGCATATAATGAGTGACCTGAATGCTGTTAAGAGCAAGGATTACTGAGGGGAGGGAAATAAAAAAAATAAAATAAAGCCACATGGAGAGAGAAATTAAGCTCTCCTGGAGGATTCTAGCCAGACAATCACAGACATTATCTAACATGAGCGCAACAAAGTAGACTGCAGAAAGCCGGAGAAATAGTCTGTCTGGGCCAGGACCCAAAACAATTGTCACCATTCCAGTGAGGCTCAGTCTATATATCTCACAGAATCAACTGGAGTGTCTCAGGCAGGACCAACAGCATAACAGAGTTAGCAGGCTGATATTATTTCAGGTGTGCTTTTAAGGTCATCCAGCTGTTTGTGTGTGTGTGTGAGTGTGTGTGTGTGTGTGCAGTGCTATGTAAAGCAGTACAGAGTGAGAAAGTGGCTGGGAGTCCAGCGATTGGCACGTGGTCAGCCCAGCCCCTCTCCACTGTGTATTACTGAGCGCAGCTTTACACCAAACACGCCCTGCTGTAAGAGGCTTACAAACAGATATGTGAGTGTGTGTTGAGGGGGGTTATGTGTGCACACTCATACAAAAAAGTGTATTTGTAATTTAATTGCACATGTTAGGACATGAACTGTGTTAATACACCGTTTGTGTATTATAGGGCCCACATCCTACATATTCTCATCTTGTATTTTGCTCCCACTTTTAACATTTGTGTCATTTTATGTTTTAAAAGTGAGAGTCAGAGTAAATTTTTACGTGACCACTTCTCAGCCTTTCTGTATCTCTCACAATTAAACATGCTGTTTTTGTTGTCATCATGCCTTTGAGACTGATACACAGTGCTGTGTAACAGTCAGAGACCACCCTTCATTTTTATTTAGTAAAGATAGTACAAGATACTCTTTTTTTAGGACTTATTTCTGAGGAGATAAGATTTAAGATAATCCACTTGCATAAGAAAAAGGAAAATAAGTGAAAAAACATCTTTGAGAGAGAAGAGAAAATCAAGCTCCACTCTTGCTTCAGACCCGAAAAAATCCACAGGTGTTTCTGTCCATCCTTCCACTGTGAGAAGATAACTCAATACTATGAGTCTGAAAGAATGTGTAGCTGTCAGAAAACCATTACTGAGAAAAGGAAATAGACAAATTAGAAGAACATTTGCTTATCAAACAAAGAAGCTGCTGGTGTTCTCAGAACGATGGACTGACCACCCCAGACCCCAGGCTGCAGCATCTTTGAATGTGTTATTGTTTGCTATCTGGCGTCGACCAGAGGAGGATAGGTTCTTCTTTTGAGTCTTGGTTTGTCTCAAGGTTTCTTCCTCTTGCTCTTAGGGAGTTTTTCATTGCCACTGTCACCAGTGGCTTAGTCATGGAGGCTTGGATGTGGATTTTTCTGTAAAGCTGCTTTGCAACAACACCTGTTGTAAAATGTGCTATATAAATAAACCTTGACTTGACTTGTTTGGGAATTCTTGCATTGTGAGAAGCAACTTCTAAGGCAGAACTTTGTAAAAAATGATATTATATTTAGTTGTTGTGGTAATTTTCTGTTAAATGTATGTATCCTATATTTTCCTGATGCTAAAAAATTAAAATGGCCATTTTGATTGGAAATAATACATAATATTACATATAAATAACAGAAGAGTCCTCTGATTTTTGAACAGTACTGTATGTAACTGACCTCTGTTCTCTGATCGTATTGTATCTCACAGTCCAGGCTGAAACACTCATAATTTCATAGTGTATGGAGGCCATAGGCTGAACCGGTGGATGTGTGTAAATGCACTGGTTTTTGTGACATCACAAAAGCACTGAATTCAAAAAAGGCTATTTTTGCAGCTTAGTTTTATATATATACCAGTCCAAATGGTATGTTTATGTTTACACAGTGTTTACTTACTACATCAAGCATTTATATAAAAATTGAGGAAAATTCACTTTTCTATGATATGGGCCCTTTCAGGTGTATGCATGCCTGTGACCAATTAGGACAACGACTCATCATTGTTTTGCAGTCTATTCAGTCTGAAGTCCCAGAATACAGTGAACAGAATCTTTGCTTATTGAAATGCTGGCGTCCAAACTTAGCAGTGCAGCACAGTTTTCCTGCTATGTGTCATGATTGTCGTGAGAAAGCCCACCTATAGCCTTCAGCCTCCCTGCATGCTCTTCAGCCGTAGCTGCACGCTCAGCTCGGCCTCTTATGTAACTCTGATATAAAGCTGTATCTGTTTCTCTGGGCACCAAAATAAAAATCTCTGGGGATTTGGAGCCCTGATGGAAACATTCGGCCCATCTGTTGTCCACAGAGTGTCTGAGTTGCTCTCCAACTTAGCCACACACGCACATCCGCACACACGCTAAGAGCATCATGCTAACAAATTAATCAGACGTGCGTATAAACACACAGACATGCTGATGTCAAAATTCTTTCATTTTTACAGATACAACATAACACCATCGTTTTTTATTTAGTTTTTTGGGAAACACACACACACACACTCTCTCTGTCACACACCTGTAGTACTGTGTGATCTGATTAGTCCATTAGGAATCATCTAGAAAGATCTGACACTAAGCCACATGAGAAATAGAACTCCTAAATTAGATTATGATCATGATCCATTTCATGTGTCATAATGAGTAACAAAAAATAATGAATAAGTAATAATTTAATAATCATGTAGTGACATAATGAATTGCGCATACATTCTATTTTTATTCTGCATCAACAGTTTCGAGTCTGCACTTTCCACTTTTTCTAATTTGTTTTAGTCACATAAAGCAGGGCTGTGTTGGAGAGCAGTTGCAACACACACGCAAACACGCTAAGACCGTCATGCTAATAAATTAATCAGATGTGCATGTGGCCCATGACGATGTTTGATTTGGCCCACCAAATTCCTCCATAATCCCACCTCCACTCTCAATGAGGAAACAAACATATATTCATACCACATATTATTTATTACATTTTCCTTTTAAAATTGTATTTTTGAAGTAATTTAGTAATAAGATGAAGTGTAATATTAGAAAATACAATCATTGCACTAACTAAATGTATATACTATATATATATGTGTGTGTATATATATATACATATATATATATATATATATATATATATATATATATATATATACACACACACACACACACACACACACACACACACTATATATATATATATATATATATATATATATATATATTATATATATATATATATATATATATATATATATGGCTTGAGGGGTGTTAAGAGGTAAGTCTCAAGTACTGGAGCTGTGGTGAGTGGAACTGGGTTCTATGGAGTGATGGAGCTCCATCCAATACCTTTAGGATGAGTTGGAGTGGTGTTTGTAATTCCAGAATTAAACATATAACTTCAGTATCTGACCTCACTAATGCTGGCACGGCTGAATGCAATCCAGTCCTCACAGCAGTGTTCAACATCTAGTGTAAAGCTTCCCAGAAGAGTAGAGGCTGTTACTGCAGAAAAGGAGACAGACCCATGGTTTCAGAAGAAACGTTGGCTAAGCAGGTGTCTACAAACTTTTGGACACATTCATGGTTTTTAAAATATAAATGCTCTCTACCCAAAGGCAATGTTTGATTACTGAAAATCAGTCGAACAGCCACCAGCGCCCTGGGTCAGCTGGGTCAGCTCGGTGCGGGTCACAGCCCTCTCTGCTGGAGTTCAGGTTGGGAGATGGTGTGGGGAGCAACAGATGTCCCGCTGGGGAATAAGCCCTCAAAGCCGCTGCTGAGCTTCAGGGAGGGGAAACACACACACACACACACACTCTCCGCACACACACATGCTCATACTCCGCACACACACACAACTGCTCACACACACAAACTCAGGGTGAGAGGCACTCACAGCGCGCGCTGCTGATGTATGGACTCTCTCTCTCTCCTCGTATCCGCTTTGTGTGCTTTTTCGCGCTCTTTTTAGCGGCTTTTCAACGGAATGTGACGGTTGGGGATGTAACTGGCGCCAAGTCAGTGCTGAAGCGCACATAGTTTCACAAGTTTGGCTCTGGGACGGAGCGGATTAAAGAGGGACGTTGGCGAGAGCGGATCTTTCTCTCAGCTCTCAGTCTGAGCGAGGAGCTGTAGAGTTCACTCAGCGCACTTTAATCGTGGAGGGACGAAAAGCAGGCCGCTTTAGTCGGTATGCCGCCCAAGAAAAAGGTAAAATGTCCCCATTTGTGTGCGTGTGTGCAGTGTAATGTGTGTGTGCGCGTGTAGTGGAGAGTGATGAAGTAGGTAGGAGAGTGCCATTCGAGGAGAGTTGCCATCTGTTGCGTTCAGCTGTAATCCTTGCGAGCTGAGCCGCTCTGCCTCATTGCTTTTATTCGCTGTGGACAATGCACTCAGACCGGGAGCCCCGCTCCGGAGCTCTGCTGCCATTCGCCTTTACGCTGTTACACAATGCAGGACTGTAGGTGATGCGGCCCTGGATGTTCTCGCATGTTCTCCTTGAGTTTATGTAAACAGTTTGGCTGCACAGTGGGGTAACTATGTACTCAATGATGCCACACTTTTCCATTCAATCAAAGACAGTAGAGTCAGTATACACAGACTTTGTTACCTCAACATAAAGTTCAATTGTGAATGGAACAAAATTGACACTTTTCGATGCAATTCATCGGAGTTTCATTGGAAGAAAGTTTTCATTCTTTGAAATACAGTTTCCATTCATTTTTGTTCATTTTACAGAAACTATTTACTTGAAGAGAATACATTTCATTTATTTAACGTCAACATATTTTCAGTTTCTAATGTCAAAATATTTTTTGCAGTGAAAAAAGGTGAATGGGCCCAAACATGAAAAAAAAAAAAAAAAACAAATAGACAAACAAAAACAGTTTACTTTGCTTGTTTGCTCATTATTGCTATATGTCAACCAGGCTAATGTGTGAAATATGTTACTAAGCAGTGTTGGGCTACATAGCCGTGGCTGGATACTGAATACACTATTTTAAGTAACGTATTCCATACAATTCATAAACAGTAACATATTCAAAATACATTCAAAATACATTTAGAATGTATATTGATAAGGTATATTGATTTGGAAAATCACACTGTCCCTCGCAGTTCACTGTTACATAAAAGATTTTCTTCATCTAAGTCTTCTTTTAATGTGTTTCATGGAAAATCCACTTATTTAAATGAAGCTACAAAATTCTTAATATTACCGTGGCTGCTTCAGTCCACTGATGCTCCTATAATCCCATCTCCTGAACGAAACAAACAACTTGCCATATCCCAATAACAAAATCCTGCAAATTTGACTATAAAGTGAATAGCTATGTGATTTTCAGTTAATGGCATGTATTTACCTTGCCATGAAATGCATGCTCTAGTCTAGTACAACACTGATGCTATGCTTACCACTTGTGAACATGTCCACTAATGACCAAAGTGATCAGTTCCATCATCCCCCAAAAGAGTGTATTAAGAGATAACTGGCTAATCACATTAATTTATAGTCTACTTAGGCTTTAGCAGAGCCCAGTAACACTGAGATTAATAACTGATCATCATGTTGATTTATCAGTCTACTCAGCCTTTAGGACAGCTCAGTAACACTGGGATTAATAACTGATCATCGCATTGGTTTATCAGTCTACTCAGGCTTTAGCAGAGCTCAATAACACTGAGATTAATAACTGATCATCACGTTGATTTATCAGTCTACTCAGTCTTTAGGACAGCTCAGTAACACTGGGATTAATAACTGATCATCGCATTGGTTTATCAGTCTACTCAGGCTTAAGGAGAGTTCAGTAATGCTGAAATAAATGATTGACTTATCACATTGATTTATCAGTCTACGCAGGCTTTAGCAGAGCCCAGTAACACTGAAATTAATAACTGATCATCACATTGATTTATCAGTCTACTCAGGCTTTAGCAGAGCCCAGTAACACAGAGATTAATAACTGATCATCAGATTGATTCATCAGTCATCTAAGGCTTTAGCGAAGCTCAGTAACACTGAGATTAATAACCGATCATCACATTGATTTATCAGTCTACTCAGGCTTTAGCGAAGCTCAGTAACACTGAGATTAATAACCGATCATCATGTTGATTTATCAGTCTACTCAGGCTTTAGCAGAGCTCAGTAACACTGAGATTAATAACTGATCATCGCATGTTGATTTATCAGTCTACTCAGGCTTTAGGAGAGCTCAATAACACTAAGATTAATGACTGACTCATCACATTGATTTTTCAGTCTACTCAGGCTTTAGAACAGCTCAGTAACACTGGGATTAATAACAGACTTATCACATTGACTTAGTCTACTCAGGCTTTAGGACAGCTCAGTAACACTGAGATTAATAACTGATCATTTCATTGGTTTATCAGTCTACTCAGGCTTTAGCAGAGCCCAGCGACCAACACATTAATAACTGATCATCACATTGATTTATCAGTCTACTCTGTGCTAGAATGTCTACCACATGCATCATACCCATCATGACTACTGAAAAAGGATTCCAGAAATGAATTAAGTCCTATGCAATTATACAAACAGCTGTCAGGCTGAAATTTTCCAATATATTTAGCCTAACTTAGTGTTGTAGTTCTCAAGTCTGGTCTCGGTCTCAATAGTGTAAATTAACAGACTCGATCTTTCAGGGTAAGTTGTAATGATGGGTGGAGTATCAGGAAACATTTTTTTGGGAAAAAATATTAACAAAGCCTTCAAACATAAAATATTGTGATAGTATCATAAATCACAATAAATAGTTCGATAATTATTGTGATATTAAATGTTCACATTGGTACATGCCTTTCCATAAGTTATGGGTAAAAAATTGCATAAGTAGTGACATTATTAGTCCAGTTAAGATATTTGGGGGCCTGGTCACCAACTTACACTGCTACTAGTCATTTTTGCCCTGTTCACTAGGGTCTATTTGGAAATCTATTTGTTTTAAGTAATGGGGTGAATTCAGGTATTCAGGAACATCAGTGAAGAAGTTCCAGAAACATTATTGATTCCAAAGTTACAAATTGAAGATTTATAGCCACAAAAAACAAACAGTTATGAGGGGAAAATGTGTATATGAATGTTATACACATGTATGAATTGTTTCAGCTGAATATTAGGAGACACTTTAAGAGACTGTTATTTATCCAGCTGGTACTTACTAATGTATTTTAAAAAATACAGTAGATATGCTGATTGAATTTCAAATATAATGTTTTTTTGTGTGAAAGTGAATAAAAGAACCAGTGACATAGATGGCCCATATTACCATATAACACACTGTACTCAGTCTAGCTTTGAAAACGCTCAGATGTTTTATTCAAGATCCCTGCGCTGCAGATAGTTTTCCCCCCAGTAAGGTGCACTATTGCCCTGCTTTGATGGCCAAGACTTTACAAGAGATACCTGCAACTAAGAATAGAAAAAGCCTCTTAGGAGCTGTCATTGGGGCAGGATACTTATTGCCTTCTGTCACAGCTTAATGCCAAACAAACCAGGCTTCGAGAAAGTTCTGGTTAAATATAAGGAAAAGTAACCTAATCAGATGAGTACACTCTGTATTAATACAGCTGATAGATTTGTCTGTGTCACCAGTCTGGCTCCACATCACTACAGCTCTCTTGCTTCAGAACAAAATAGTGCTTCTGCTCCATAGCAGGTTTTTAATTATGAATTTAAATGTTTTTACATAAGATGAAAGGTCTATTTGTGCTCAACAAAAGACTTTTTTTCAGTGGAAACACTCAATGATTCAATAGAATGGTTTCCAGTGTCACGCATCTTCTGTCCTTTTGTTCATCAGTGCTAAATGTGCCACTTTTTTGGGAAAAATGTTTTTATCTCCACGTTGTAGGGCTGGTCGGTTAAAGGGAGTTTGCATTTGTCTCTTTCTCTCCAAATCCTGGATTGACGCATGCCATCTTAATCTCCTTACAGAAAAGCAATCATGTGGGAGAGGGGCAGTGAGAGGGAGTGTGAGAGAAGGACATATCTAGCGGTGTAGCTCAGTCCTGTGTTTCTGTCCCACTGGTCACGTACTCGCGTGTCGTTTCATGTGTTTCAGACTGGAGTAGACAATGTAGAGTCTTAGTGACGGACACTTTCATTGAAGGCCTTTTAAAACTAGAGGCAAGCCAGCAGGGCACAGGTTTGTACTACATGGTTGGCAATTTAGTGCTACACAATGTAATGTTTGTTATTTGGAAGATTGGCTCTGCGGTACTGGTATCACTGAAGGCAGCAAAATGAATCAATCACCATGGTTTTTTTTACTCTCTATGACTAGAGATGACATATCAGTATCCATATTTGGCCAATATCAGCAGAAAATGTTTGGTTCAATGTTGGAAAGAAAAAAAAGAATGAATCTGATCTTGTAACAAATCTATGCTGAAATAGTGCTCAGTCATACTATGCTGTGTTCATGTAATAAAAATTAATGTATTTGGGATAAGATAATGCAGGTCAATATTTGATCATTTAACATAGTTTCAATACATTACAAGTACTGGTGTCAAAGTTAATGTGTTATTATCACGATAAATTATTAATGCTGTTAGTTCTTTCAGTGCCATTAAAAGCCTATTTTGATCCTTCAAATCATCTGTAGTTCCAGTCTAAACAGGCTGAAGCTCAACTTCTTGTTGCTATAACTGCATCTGTTGTCCTCTTGTTAAAATATAGCTGCTAAATGGTGAGTTTCATTCATGGTTTTCTTGATAAAACATTAATTCCGGCTACTGCCAGGCCATGAATTTGTTTATCATCGAAGTACATCGAGTCTGAAGTATCATTTGCATGATACTTCACAAAGGTGTTGCCGGCAATGTCAGTAATATCATTAACGTCAGCACTGGTGGACGACTTCAGCAGACTACTCTGAACATGGCTGGCGAGAGTACTACAGATCAATCAACATGACAATGTTTTGTTGAGAGTTAGATCTTGTTAATGAGAGCTAGAGGGCTACAATCGTGGAGGAGTTGGAACATGCAATAACTGCTGCTCTTTGAGCCACTAGGGGGCCTCTAGTGACAATTTTAGCTAATTTTGAGCATAACTCAAAAATGCTAGCCAGTACATCACAAGCAAACACATATCGTATCATAATGTGCTTCATTAAAACAGAAAAAATGTTTACATAATTGCTGAAAACATATTTCTACAGTGGCAATTCTTAATG